AACGTCGGCACCTTCGCCATGGACGCGGCGTCACCCGGACAGCCACGTAAATACTGACTCCGGCCGCGTAAGCCTACGCTCTATCCTATAAAAATCCATGATATTTACCTTAATGTAGGAAGACGTGAAAACCTTGCAGCGGGGACGACACTTGAATTCACTGAATGCAACTGAAGCGAAATTCTGTCTCTTTTATAAAGTGACGAGGTGGGTGATAAGACGAGAACTCCGTGCGGTTTTGTCCAGGACGATGAGTCAATGCATCAGCCGATAAGCATCTCGCGAGAAGTGGTCTAGAGAATACCGCATTATTTTCATAGTTATCGCTGATTATTTTCATCACTCGTTGGTTAATCTTGACTCCTCCCAGCTGACCTAAGCGATAAACAAAAGCATAGGCTTAACAAAGAACGACTTTCAGCACATCGTCCGCCTGGAAGTCGTATACAGAACAGTTGAAAATTACCTTTGGACCTCTATCAGGTGCATCACGTTATAAATCTGTTGTGAAGTGATATCGCGTTCATTAGAAATAGCAAGCATAGCGTTGCAGAGTTCTTCTTGTCCAAGTATACAGGCTTAGGTAGTTCAGGGCATCAACTGACGTCACTGCAGTGCCTCTGAACGGGAAGTCGAATTGGAGACCCGACGGTGACAGTACATATTTTTGACACTAGCTCGATCGAGTTCAGTCACTGTGTGGAGGAGAATTCTGGCGGCCGGTAGCCCTAATCGGTAGTTTTCCGTGGTTTCTCCAATCAACACCAGGTGAATGCCACAGTAGTACCCTAACAAACGGGCTACGGATTACAGGCGATATTTCCTTCCTCTTCCTTGCGTTATCCTGGCCCTTTACTTTCACACACCCACATTACACGACCACACATTTTGGGCAACACGGGCTCGTGGCACGTGTGCCCGAGAACGCGTTTACACTATGAGACTTTTCGGTTTAAAATTGCATGAGTGAAGTTAAAAAACGCTCGTGCAACATGACGCAATTTGCCTCACACTGTCCATACTGGTCCTCCTTGTCGTCGAAAGGATCTGAGGACATGCATAGGATTTGTATTGCAATTAATGAGACTACGCCTTTTTTTGTTCTGTTACTTTTTTTTGCAATAAGGTTCCATAAGTTCTTTACTAGCGTCTAACAGAACAGTGGAGTAATCCTCCGTTAACCTCGGTAGTCATCGTGGGACATTGCATTTTATTCCTTCGGCCAGGTAATCGACCCTGTTAGATCTTGGGGTTCCCAGGCAGTCACTCATCCAACGACTCGCGGTGTCTAGAGTTAAACTCCGTGAATTCACGGAGGGTAGTTACGCAATTCGACTAGCGACACTGCTAGCGATTCTCCACATTTGTACTGCATATACTAACAATCAGACGAAGGAACAGTAGGAAAAAAAACATTGTAAGAAGGAATATCTTTAGGAATATAGTTATGAGGATAGAATATATATATATATATATATATATATATATATATATATATATATATTACTCAGGATTGTAATTACTAAATGATATTTTGTGATAAAGTAAAAACATAATTCACTGCGTTTCTCTTCGAAATAGGTGATCTCACTATCTAGCAGTCTTGAATAAAGTTCATTTAGGAAATCTCAATTATAGTAATGACTACCATTAGTTTCCACAAGACTTCAACATACACTGAAACCTTGCCTTGGTTCTCAAAAAAATAAATGAGGCTTCAATAGGGCTAGAAATTTACACTCTTCATTTCGAAGAGTGCACACTAATCGCTCTTTGGAGAATCCGCACGGTCCGGAGGAACGAGATTTTCGTCTGCTGGGGGAAGCTGTGCGCTATTGCATGCGTCCTTTCTCTTAGAGAAAAGATGCTTGCGCTACCTGCATTACTTGCGTTAGAAGCGCAAAAGTGGATGAACAGATGCAAATATATCTTATCAAACTACTCTCCCGCACTTCTTAATAAATTTGTTGATGTATAGAAAAAATATGAACATTTTTTTTAGTTTTTCAAGAATTAGTAAAGGAAAAACTACGAAAGAATTGAAAAATTGTGGCCAAGTAGCTAATGTTTATGGAATCTGAAATATTGAATATCATTTACAAAATACAATAACTGAATAAAATATATACGATGATGGGAGTAACATAAAAATGTGTTTTAGAAACTTCAACTGAGGCATTAGGAACAAAATAATAAATTTATAAGGAAGAAAGGATTAAAAATTTGGAACAATGAAATAGAAACTCTAATAAAAGAAAAACCTAAAATGTTAAAAGAGTATTTGCAATTGAAAACTGAAGAAGCTACTTTAAAATATAAATAAAAACGAGAATGCTAAAAAAGAGATAGAGCTAGATAGAGATGTGCTAGAAAAGAGTAAGAGAAGCTCATCAATAATCCTGGAATAAATTAATAACTAAAATAGAACGTGATATACATAGCAGACAAGACAGAATAGAATATGATGAAACAATTAAATAAAACAGAAAGAGATACGGCACACCTATACGCTGTACAAAAAGAAGCTTGGATAAAACATTACAAAGAATTATGGGCGGAACTAATGAAACAAGATATTATGAATTATGGGCATTACAGAATTATGGGCGGAACTAATGGAACGATCAAACACCCAACTCTACAAATAGGGAAATATACAGCTACAGTTCGTATTAAGGAGATGACACTTTGGATGAACTGCACGCAAGAACTTCAAGAAATGAAAAATAGAAAAGAACTAGGGTTTGATGAAATAAATTCTGAACTTATTAAACACAGTAAATTTCTTCTGGAACTAAGGATCTTAAGTCTGATCAATAAATGTTGGGAAACCCAAGAAAGACCAATGTCTTGGGAAACAGCGGGAGTCAATAATTAATTTGCAATAATCCGTTTCGACGCTTCCCAATCGATCTTACCTATCCACTCTACCTGAAATCTCTGCCTCGTAATTCATAGCCGGGAGAACTGGGCAACTCGGCGTTTAATATTGCTGACTTTATTGCAACCAATTACAGATCTGGTCATTTCCAGCTAAACATTAGAAGTGCAGATCTTCTGCAGGTCTACTATATCCAAAATAATAAATAAATTCCTGCCTCTCCAGGACAACTGGAGAAGGGAAAATTTAAATAAAACTTCACAAAATATTTTTTGGGGATAAGCAGTATATCTTAAAGAAACTTAGTTTTCATTTTGATTCTAATTTACAAGGGATAAGTTGAACAAGTGTTCTTAACTTTCGTGTGTGTTTTTTTAACAAAAACTTTTGTCAAGTTCATAAGCAAACATTCAATAAGAGTTGGTTATTAAGAACTTACTACTTTTTCAATTATTGTTCAACCTGACACTAACATTATTAAAAAAGTATTACACCTAAAATGAACTAAATTGACCTTTCAAAAAGCGTAAAATGACATTTATAAAATCCTAAAAATCCGGGCCCTATTTGCATCATGTTCAATCTACATATTGATTGACATTCATTACTTAAGAAAATAAGTAAAACACAGAATTTATAAATATGTGTCACTGTCAAGCCTAGGATTTGTATATAGTTGTGTGTTCATCAATTACCATCAACTTTTTGTCAAGCCTAAGTTTACGAAGTAGGCTTTTTGAAATTATTTGAAGCTTTTTTGATTATCTATATTTGTTCATACATCCAAGGATAGTATTTATATTCACATATTCGAGGAAAACGTTGCATATGTCCAGGTTTTATTTGCAATGTGTCATATTTAAGGTCTTTCAAAATTATTCTTGAATGATTATTTTAAATTTTATAGCAATTTTTACAGGTGACGGATTTAGAAGTAGATTTTATTTAAATCGACAATATATTGAAAGGTTCAAGATGTAATTCAGTACTACTTCTAGTGTAGAATGCCATTTTAACCAATACAAAATAGTATTAGAAAATAAAAAAAGACAGTTTCACATTTAAACATTTAAGACAGTGCCTTATAAGCTACTTCTTGGTAAATTCCTAATATTCAGAAAATGATTAAGGAACTTACTTTCAGGAACACAATAATGTTGTCCATTTTAGTACATGATTTTACATATTGTTCTACAGCTAATATGAAAACTGGATATTTTCAGAGCTCTGCTCTTCGGAACAACAGAAAAGATCTGCAAC